TGGATTCCTATCCCTCACACACGTTCTAACAGCCGCTCTCCACTTTTCCTTTTCCTCAGGCGTTAACAAGGTATTTAACAGCTGCTGAATATCCTGCCACGTGGGATTGTGAGTTTGCATAATGGTCTGAAACAAATCTGCCATTTCCGTTGGCTTAACAGTTAAAGGACCATAATGCTGCTTCCAATTCAACAGATCTCTGGTGGTGAACGGAACGTATTGGAAAATGGATTTGATCTGTGCAGCTCCCTGCTGATCCATTACATGCTGATCCATCTGTCTCAAAGGAGCAAGCAGCTCCCCTCTCCTTGCCTTAGACCTGGTCATTACTCCCGTCGAGACTGCAATCTCAGTCTCCTCACTTCCCTCTTCATACAACTCTTCAGCTTCCCCTCCAGGGTGATCTCTCACCCCTCCTTTTTCCTCCTTAGGAGCAGTCGGCACAGACTTTCCCCCCCTTCTTCTCACCACTGCTTGCACGCTTTCAGCCTGTGCCGCAGCCCCTGCCCCAGGCTGAAGCAGAGGAGGTGCTGCCACAGGCTGGGATGGGGGTGGCGGCTGTGGCACATACGGAGGGGGCCGGAGCACTGCTTCCTCTTCTTCTACCAAAACCTCCTTCCTTAAATCTGACAGCTTTGTTTCTGCGATCTTCACATCCTTATATTTTTTCTCCACTGCTTTCAACTTTTTCCCTTTTGGTCTAACTACACACAAACGCACCATTTCAGCCTGGCATTGTAGGAGATCATCTGCCCTTTCTGCTACTGCATCCCCCCACTGATCTATGTACTGGAATTGATTAGGATAATTTTTTTCATTAGCTGCAATCAGTGAGGTCAGATCATCAATAAGCTGGGTATTAAACGTTCCCTCAGGGGGCCAGCCTACATCTAAATGAGGCCACCAATCTTCACACAGGAAACGCAGCCTATCCTTAGAAACTGGGGGATATGGCACTTTATATTTGGTGTGATTGAAATAGCGATCAAAACCTTTTAACATACATTGAAGTGGTGTGCTAGGCACACTACTTTTCCCTCCCATTGTGGTACTAACACTGCCAACGCCACTGACCTACGGTGCTGGAAACTCGACAGTCACCAATAGGAAATGCAGCAGCAGATGGCTTAACCTCCCACACACACCCTAACACAGACTTCTTTAGGAACGACGTCCCGAGTCTAGGGGGGCGATCAATCCCCCTCTTCTATCTTCAAACGAGATAGGTACTTCCCCCGTTTAATACATACTCGCCTGAGGCGTCTTCACACACACACGTCCTGGCCAGGAGCAGTTCAGACCTCCTTTCCTTCCCACAAGGGTTCTTGGACTAGCTATCTGCACCGTTGGCTCCGCAGAGAAGTCACTTCTGTCTCCCGGAGGGGATTCCCCCGTGGCGCCTGGAGAATGTTTCAGGAGTGGCTTCCCGTCGGGCCCAAGGGGTCAAGCTGTCCTCAGCGAAACATCGCCTGGCCTTTGTCCCATCTGCGGGTGCCAGGAAACTGTTGTGGAAATGAAGGAACACAAGCCAGCTCTTTGGAGAAGGAAAGTTTTAATATGCGCAGGTTCAGATGGCCAAAGCCAATACAAAGATCTGAACCCCAAGGAGCGTCCAGAGTACACATATATAGGTTATACAACGTATGCATTTCCTGACCCCTCTAGGCCCCATATATGGTAATATGTTAAACATTGTAATCTCAGCATTCCTGAGAGTATGGAAAAGTACCAGACAGTTGAACATTGACACAGAGATAAAAATAGTGAATTGGCTACTAAGCAAAGCAAAAACAGGATATGGGTGAAATATGGCTGCAGCAGTCAAGGACAGTTTGAGAGAGCATTATCTCCAGACTCAGCAATTTCTGGAATGCCTTGTGACCAGTCCACCTCACAGCCGTTCGATGGCGTCCTTGCCAGCGTTGGTGCGGGGCCTGGCTGTCTGGTGGCATAGCCACATTGGAGCTGCGGGGTGTCACCCTTCCCCCCTCCCGTGAATGTCGAGCCCTCGGGGCTGGACAGGCGGCTCCCTCTACCAGGGCTCCACCTGGAAGGCAAGGAGAAACACGTAAGCATTCACCCGCTGTAGTGGACAGTTCAGCCAACCCCCCACCCAGCTTGCCATGGCATTGGCGATGGAACTTGTGCAACAATCGGGGGGCATGGATGTCCGCCTCCCCCACCCAGGACGCCTCTGTAATAGGGTAACCCGTCCACCACACGAGGTACTGTAGCCGTCCCCATCGGATCCGAGAGTCCAGGATCTCCTGTATCTCGTAATGGTCCCCCATGACAGGCCCTGGCACCCCTTTCACGGGCCTACAGGAGGAACCCCCTATCGGTTTCAACAGACTACAGTGGAAGACCGGGTGTATCTTCCCCAGGAACTGAGGTAGCTGTAACCATACAGCCACTGGATTGATAACCTGTGTAACCCGGAACGGCCCTAGGTATTTGGGACCTAGCTTCTTACAGGGTACCCTCAGGCGTAGGTACTTTGTCGATAGGTACAACAGATCGCCCACCCGAAAAGGCTTTTGGGGCCTCCTTTTCTTATTGGCCTGTGCTTTTGTGGCCTCCTTGGCCTTTACTAAGGCCTTCTTCACGTTACCTCCCCCAATGTGCGTTATCCAATCCTGAGGTTGACAGGGCGAGGGGTCCCCTTTTTTATACTCAGGGATTGGGACGAAGTCCAGACTGTGCACCACCCGGAAGGGAGCAAAACCGGTGCTGCTGTGCACCGCGTTATTGTACGCCACTTCTGCAAACGGCAGTAGGTTGACCCAGTCCGTCTGTTGGTACGAAACATAGCTCCGTAGCTAGCACTCCACCATCGCATTTGCTCGTTCCGCCGCCCCATTGGTGCTGGGGTGATACGCCAAGCTGAGTCCTTGGGACGACCCGATAAACCGGATAAACTCATGCCAGAAACGGGCCGTGAAATGCACCCCCCGATCCAAGATGATTCGTCGGGGCACCCCGTGCAGGCGATACACCTGTGCGATAAACAGTTTGGCCAGCTTCCGGGTGGATGGCAACCCCTGACATGGGACAAAGTGGGCCTGCTTGGAAAAGAGGTCTATTACGGTCCAAATTACAGTATAGCCACGACTCTCCGGCAACTCCACGATGAAGTCCATCGCAATGTCCTCCCAGGGTCGGGTTGGGTCCCATTTGTAACAACCCCAAGGGCTTCCCTGTACGGGGCTTTGTGGTGGCACAGACATCGCATCCCCGTACATAGGCCTCCACGTCTGCTTTCATCTGCGGCCATCAGAACTGCCACCTTACCAAATGCAGGGTCTTCAGAAAACCGAAATGGCCCGCCTGCTTTACGTCATGGCACCGTTGCAACACCCCGTCTTAGAGCCTGTGGGATATATAGTTTGTCACCTTTCCACGCCAGCCCATCCCTCGTCAGTAGGTCTTGATGATCCTGTAGCCAGGGGTTGTCCTGGACTGCCTTGTGCAGCTCCTGGACCAGGTCGATTACCAGGTTGCGTGCCACCGCCTGCGCTGCTGCTTGCCGGTAGGGGGGCATGATGGCCTGTACCACCTCCTCCCGCTTACTGTTGTATTGGGGCATTCTCGACAAGGCATCGGCTAGAAAGTTTTTCCCCCCTGGTATATACTTCAAACGGAATCATTGGAAATATTGCGCCCACTGTACGTGTTTAGGGGACTTGGTGTCTGCAACGCTGAGGTTTTTATGGTCCGTCCAGACCTTGAACGGTTCCTTCGCTCCCTCCAGCAGGTGTCGTCATGTTGACAGCACCCACTATATGGTAAACGCCTCCTTCTCCCATATAGCCCATGCCCTCTTGGTATCCGTCAGCTTACGCAACGTGTAAGCACAGGGCTGTAAAGTCCCCTGGCCATTCTTTTGGAGCAACACCGCCCCCACCGCGACGTCACTGGCATCGGCCTGTACTACAAACGCCAGGTCAGGGTTTGGGTGGAGCAAAACCGGATCCCTCACGAACAGGGCCTTTAGGACCTCAGAGGCCTTCTGACATGCCATGGTCCATGCCAGTGGTTGACCTGGGCGTGGCTTAGTCGCAGTCTGTCGTGTGCAGAGCAGGTCTGTCAGGGGTAGGGCCACTGCAGCAAATGAGGGGATGAACTGCTGATAAAAGTTGGCAAACCCCCCAAAACTCTGTAGCTGACAGCGGGTCCAAGGTGCCTGCCACTCCAGTACGGCCTTGACCTTATTAGGGTCCATTTCCACTCCTGCCCCCGATATCCGAGATAGTCCAGCCGTGTTTGGTGGAATTCGCACTTGGAGAGCTTCACAAACAGGTTTGCCTTCAACAGTTTTTCCAGCACCTGTCACACCAGACAGATGTGTTCATGTTGGAGGTGTAGATTAAGATGTCGTCTAAATATACGAGCACCCCACGGTAAAGGTGTTCATGCAACACCTCATTGATGAGCTGCATAAATACCGCAGGGGCCCCCTGTAGGCCGAACGGCATCACCTGGAACTGGTAACTACCAAGCGGGCAGTTGAACACCGTCTTCCACTCATCCCCTTGCTTGATACAGACCCTGTAATACGCCTCCCATAAGTCCAGCTTGGTAAACACCTTACCCTTCGCCAAATGGGCCAACAGGTCTTTCATTAGTGTTAGAGGGTACATGTTTTCCACACAAACCCCGTTGATGCCGCGGAAGTCTACACACAAGCACAGGGTGTCGTCCTTCTTTTCCTTAAACAGTACCGGAGCTGTGATCCGCGATCGGGCCAGCTGGATGAAGCCCCTTGCTAGATTCCGGTCAATATACCAATGCAGTGCCTCCATCTCCCTGGGCGTCATCGCTTACATCCGGGGTTTGGGCAGTTTCATGGACTCCTGAAGTGCGTCTTGACAGACCGCGGAGGTCTGTTCACAGCCCACTTCGGCAGGCTCTGCTTGGTCTTTTGGAGGTATAGGTGTGCCTCTCAGTGCACCACCAAGAGACGGATGGGAGCACGGAATGAATGAATGCAGTGCTGTATCAATACTTGCTCTGCTTCATCAATTTCCAGGAGGACTGGGCAGACTTCCTGGCCCTGGCAGAATTCACATACAACAATGAACAGCATGTGTCCATGCAAATGTCCCTGTTTCTGGCTAAGTATGGGTACCCACCCGCATGTTTACCCTGACCACATCAGACTCTCCAGTGCCAGCCACCGCGGACTCCCTCCAGGACTTGCATCAGGTGCTACAAGACCAGCTGGACCAGGCCAAGGAAGGTTATAAAAAGTTTGCAGATCAGCAACGGCAATCCGTTCCTCCCTTGGCAGTTGATGACTTGGTCTGGTTGTCCGATGACTTTTGGTGACTCATTCAGTACCAAACGTTGAAATCCAGATCGACATCCTAGCATAGCTGGAGCACCATCTGTGCAAACACCACAAACCTTTTCCCAAGAGATCTTATGCTCTTTCAGAAATGAACCAACTGTGTCAAATACATCACATGCAGTAGTTGTCGTTTCAAGAGGTTTGCAAAAAAGAAACTCATCTTTAAAGTCGCCATCATTAATATACCTCAGGTAAACCAGTAACTGTGAACAGTTTGCAACGTCTGTAGATTCATCAAGCTGGATACTAAATATTGGAAGTGGAGCAGATTTAATTTCTTGGATTACCTGATCAAGAATATCAGCAGACATGGGCGGATATTCTTCTGCGGACAGTGTCGTTAGATAAGGAAATTGCACTCAATTTCATAACAAATTCGTCTCCGATCATAACTCGAACAATGGTGTGAGGTTTCATAGCTCTGGTGATTCTGAGTGCCACCAAATATGAAGCTTCAACGGCTGCTACGTTTTGTTTGTGGTACTTGCCACCAGTGGCAAGTCTGGCTTTCTTGAGTCCATCAGCTTTGCTTCTAAAATAGTTGGTATCCTTGCCGGCAAAGCTCGGATGTTTGCTATCAAAATGGCGTTTTAGTTTGTTCGGCTTCATAGATTCAGCTGATAGAACTTCACAACAAATAACACATTGCGGTTTCTCAATTCCTGCTGTAATTATTGAGGTAAAACCATACTGTAAAAAATCCTCACTATATTTTCTTTTCTTAACGTTCTTCTCTACACGATCCATTGTCATGGGATGGTTTGCTAATGAAAATAATATATAACAATAGCTTTAATAATACAAAAGATGATACATGGCATAGTTCAGTCAATACAGTTCATTAAAGTTTCCTATGGTTTACCATTCTCTGTGTTGTTTTTTTACATACCTGTTACTATCACAAGGGGGCAGTATTCACATCAACCACAGCTGAATATAAAAAGACCGATCAGCATCCAGATTAAGTTCCCATGGTACAGATATTTTTTTTTTGCAGTAGTTGATGATTTTACAGTACATGATTTTACATTTACCCAGTAATTATAATTCATGAAGTGTCGTTTTACCTCCAATACTGCTGCTTTCAACATAGTAGCTGCTTTTAACAGAGTAGCTGCTTTCAACACAGCAGCTGCTTTCTACACAGTAGCTGCTCTCTACACGTGTGACTGGTCCGCATAAGTACATTATGGCGCCAACCCTGTCACATACACCTGTATTTGTACGGGGTGTATGTAATGGGGTTGGCGCGATGATGTCATCACGCTGGGTACTTGTATGTGGGAGTATCTGCATGTGGGTGGACCCACCTGGAGACGGATAGAGGAGCGGTGTCTCGGTTCCTAAGACCATCGGAAATATGTGTTTTCCGATGGTCTTAGGCAACCCCTGTGAAAGGGTTGTTCAACCCCCAAAGGGGTCGCGACCCACAGGTTGAGAACCGCTGCTCTACCACCTTCTCAACAACCTTCCCCCAAAAGGAAAGGTTGAAGACTCTTCGGTAGTTGTCAAAAATTGTTTAATTCAAGGATGGCCTCTTGAGGAGGGGGTGCCAGCACTGCCTTTTTCAAGGCTGGAAGTATCATCCCTTCCCTCAAAAGAGACTGACACCACAGCACAGACCTAACCATGGGTCACCTCCTTGGCCACTTTTAAAATTCTAAGAGGCCCAGATCTAGTGAACAGGTGGTTGAGCTGACAGCACAGAGAACCCTGTCCATTCCTAGCAATGGTCAGATTACTTTTTTGATGGATGACAGGAAAAGCATAGAATTTCAGAACTGTATCTAGTCTGTCAAATGAGACAATGTATGACAAAAGTATTAATATTTGTTTCATTTTATTATAAAAAATTATTTCAATTTTGTTTAAATATACAAGCAGAAATTTTCTTTTAATACCCCCTAGTTAACACTGTTAAAAATGAACCAAAGCAAAACAATTTTAAAAACAAAAAATTATTAACAACCACAAATTTGGTATTTATAATTTTTTCCTTTATATAAGACAACTGATTTTACATATTTAAAATGGTATAAAAAGGACACATTTGCAGACAAACACATTTGAAAAGGTGGAAAAACAAGGGGAAGGGAATTATACAGTTTTTAGAATGACCATAAACTTGGTTAAAATGTTTTCTTAAAAAAAATCAGTTTAATTTGCATTGCCTTTTTCCATTAACACAATTTTCAAATGTGGAACTCCCTACAGGTTGGGAAACTATTTTTTTCCAACCCATTCCCAGCTAACATCCACTGCAAACTCTTTCTAAAAATCCTACCTACTTCCATACACCTATTAATCTTTTTATGATGCACATGTTATAACTGACTCTAAGTCTTTCTGAAAGAGTCAACATTGTGTTCATTGAGGGGAGGGAAGAGACAATATGCAATTTGATAAGTCTTATTTTCGGCCAAGCAGAAACAATGTCTTCTGAAAATGGAATCTAGATTGAAGAACTCATCTTGTGACCCATTTCCAATTACTTTAGAAAAAGCAAGATCAGGGTGGACTTCCGGTGGCAGGCGACCTCGTCGGACGCAGCTGTTGCTGCCTCCCGCCTGTTTTTGCGTAAAAGCCGTTTTGACAGCTAGCATCAGCTGTCAAACGGCTTGATACCCTTCCCCTGGGCATAAGGGGATAGGTGAGCTGCCCGGGGTAGGAGTTGAGTTCCCGAGTCGTCCCTTGTGGACGATGTAGGTGAGAACTCCTCCGGAGCCCCGCGGCTTCTCCGCGATCCAGGACGCCTTCGCCTTAGCGAAGCTAGAAGCCGCCGCCACTGCTGCAACTTAAAGTGAACTGTGAGTTTTTCTTGTAAGCAGACGAACCGACCCTGGAAGTTTGCTTCTTATTTTGGACTCTACTCTAACTTGGATAATAAGTTCTTCCCTATACTTGA